AAGGTAGCTTTAGAGTAGGAAGACCTTTCTTCACGAATAAGACCTTTCTTCATGAATAAACTAGTTTTTCTAGCGATAGGTGCCAACCTTCTCTCTTCGCACTGTAGGTTTTAAAATGTGGACATTAGGGAAAATTCTGGAAGAACACTTGAAACGGTTCTATACAAAGTTCTTTGATTGTAGGAATAAACATATCCTCATGCCAGCAGAATTAGTTAGGATTTCTTTGAGGGCATTAGCATCTAATTTTGTCTCAAATTGGCTTGCAGGGTAAGGAAAAAGTATTACCCAGCGTAAGAAGCCCCCTAAGGGGGAGCACGGAGTGGGTTCACATAGCAGCCCGAGGGCACAGCCAGAGACCCCGGTCTTCTTCGGGACCCTGATCTACCCTGCACCTGTCGGCCCGGACAGCACAGCAGTGGGTGGGCAGCCAGCAATTCTAGGACGTCCTGTCTGGATGCACGACAGAGCAGGAAGAGTGTCTTTTTTTATATTTCCCTTTAAAGATGATGGGCTCTTTCTCATGAGCCCCCCAAGGAGCTCCCCCACATCTGATTGTTAGAAACTGTTCTCCTCCGTCTACTTTCAGCCGTCATTGTGGATGCGGGTGGAGTCACCAGGTCCGCACTGCAGGATGTATGTGTGCAACTGGTCAGCAGGCCGCCAAGGTGGACGTCTGAACAAAATCAGGGTCTAGGTTTGGGGCAGGAAAGAGGCTGTTAAGAGGGTAAAACCAAATGTGGCGTACGGATGTGTCTTGACTTCAGAGCCTGTACACCCGACCCACATTGTTTTACTTCTCACATTTAATAAGCACAAGTTCAAATAAATTACTAAAAAGGTTTACAAGCTCTGCTTTATTAAGTGTTTGAAGACAGAGAAAATTGCATAAATGATAATTCCTGCATGGATAGAAGTCGTCATTTCTTCAGTATTTTGGGGGTGGTTGAATCTGACCAGGTATTACTTGAATGTTCCCTGTGTGTCAGTGTGTATTCTGGGTGCCAGGCATGTAACATAGAAAAATTGACTGGTGTATATAAAATAGACGATCACATTGATGGACACATACTCATCTTAAAATTGTTGAAAATATTCTTGTAAGTATTATAAAAGGAAAGAATAACAAACTGAATTGTACTCTAGCTGAAAATAGTATTGAAGTGAACAAATTTCTTAAAAACACACTTAATGAACACTTGTTCAAGAGCATTCAATCTGAAACGAGTCACACTACAAACTGATGACTCATTCACGAATGAGTCTGAGTTCTTACAAAACTGGATTTTTTTCCCCAAAAGTGACAAAAAGTAAGCTCCAGCAAGTTCATACACACTTCTCTTTGGAAATAACTAAGAAATAGAAATCAGCATTGCCAGTATTTGTTGTATAAGAAATGACCGGAGTTGCCTATTTCAAAAAACATACCATTACTTCATGGTTAAATTACAGAATGACTGGCACTTAGGCCTTCCAAATCAAGTTTCACTGTAACTGTAATAGCAACTGACTGCATGTATATATTTCTACCAGAAAACGACATGATTTTTTTCTGAAAGGGAATGATTATTTGCATCAAACTATTGTCCATTTCTGAGCACTTTCGGACGCCAGTTTTACCTAGCTGTTTTGAGGCAGATCTGCAAAGCTGGAAGAGCCATCGTCTCCATGCTGGCGCAGTGCAATCCTCAAGAAAGACACTTTTTTTTTTTTTGGTCAGAGAAATGAATATAGGAGAGATTTCCCAAACCAGCCAATTCTTCATAGGATTGTTAAGCCAGAAGTTCAGCTTTCTGACTATTTTGGAGCTTGTCGGTATAAGAAACCAGTGGTCAAAGAGCAGATGTTTGCTTTATGCTGTGCCTCAGTCCATCAGATGAACTCATCACTGAAAGAAACTCCTTTCAGATGCACCCCCACAGGCTCCCAGCTGCCCTCTCCGGAGTGGGCGGGACGACGACCACGGCGCTCACTTTGTGTATTAAGGCAGTTTTAGCTCTGCTGCAGAATGTTCAGCGCGCCAGTGGAGACAAGGAAGAGGATGAAAAGTTGCTGAATCCGACGGAGAACCTGGCTCAGACGCAGCCCTGAGGACACGGGAGTGTGGCCAGCTAGGCGATGCATATGGACCTGCCATTTGTGGAACAGAATTTCAGTTACATCTATCATCAACCCACTTCCTCTGCAGGAAACGGATCTTTGATTTATGGAGGAATAACTTCCTTTTGTTCCTCTAATAAGAAATTCAAGGGCACATAAATGCTGCTTGGTTTTCTCCCTGTCTTCAGAGGTGCTGAACTGTGCAGGGGAGGTGGAGACAAGCCTGTGGTGGTGGCCGGGGGTGGCGGCAAGGCCTGTGGCCTTTCATGGATGAAGTGCCAGCCCTCTCCGCTTGGGGTGCCCCCTGCTTGATGCAAACCCGGCTCCTTGTTCCTAAGTGGCCGCAGGCAGGCAGACTGCTCAGCGCTCTCCCAGTAGAGCAATGAAGGCAGAAGTAATTCCCAAAAGCAAACGATTTCCTTTCTCTGTAGAGCTTTTACAGCAGAACACGGAGAGGAGAGACTCCCAGACACAGAAAACAAACTTACGGTCACCAAAGGGGAAAGGGGGGAAGGGATAAACTAGGAGTTGGTGATTAGCAGATACACACTACTCGATATAAAACAGATAAACAGGGTCCTACTGTACAGCACAGGGAACCACATTCAGTGTCCTGTAGTAACCTATGATGGAAAAGAATCAGAAAAAGCGTATGTGTGTTTGTACACGTATAACCGAATCACTGTGCTGTGCACCAGAAACTAACGCAACATCGGAAATGGAGTCTACAATTAAGAAACGAAGAAGTGGAAGGTCTGTTCACAGAAAGCAGCAGTGACTGCAGATGTCCAGGCTGAACAAAGAAACGAGCTGGTTTCTAGCACCATCTTGGATTCTTTTATTTCTCTGTGAATATATACACACACGTATCATCGGAGCAAGTTTCACTTACTTTCGGTTGGACAGTCTTCCCCAAACGAATCCTTTTTTAAAAATTGAAATATCATCTGGTACGTGTCATCCTGAGGGGTCTGGAAACAAGGACTCTGACAAAAGGCTTGTACCACACACAGGAGTTTGCACACCCACTTATAGAAGAAAAATTCCACCCGAGAGATTACAGAACAGGCAGGGGACCCACGTAATCATTCGAACAGTTTTTTACTTTAAAAGAAGATTTTGAAAGTCTAAAGTGGTCTTAGAACTTACACATACAAAGGAAAAAATAAATAACCATCCCAGTAGGTAAAAAGGAATGTCTGGTGACATCATACTTAGTGAGATGGGAGATCAGGCACCCCTCGGAGGTAGTTTGGAGGCACCTGATCAAGGTGACCACGCGCCTGTTCTCCAGCAGGTGTGTGCCTGGGAACCCTGCAGCTGTCATGGGGGGACAGGGACAGAGATGTCTATGGCGGTACTGTTTGTAATAATGAAAAATAGTTCACTTACTGAATAAATGAATGAATGAAATGTATTTCACATAGTGAATGAGTGGAATGAATGGAAATGGAAATGAATGACAGATGCAAGCATCTGAAGCTTGTCCTGCATTTCTGTGAGCCTCACCGCGGTTCTCGGGGACGGTGAACGCCCATCTAACCGATGAGGATGCTGAGGCAGAGAGACGCTGCGGGTTTGCCCCAGGAAGGTGACTGAGGGGGCCGGGACTTGCACCGGGCTCTGGGGCCGTGCCCTCACTCAGGTTATTTCTGCAGCTTCCTCTCTGAGGGCAGCAGAGCAGTGTGGGTGGGATAGGGCCGTCTTAGCACACAGGGCGGCGGTGCTGGCCGGCCTGGTGGGTGCTCAGGACCCTTTGCTGGCCTGCAGCTCCTTAGTGATGTGTGCGTGCTGGGGTCAGGGCGGCCGGAACCCCGGCACCGGCCAGGAGCCAGCCATCGGGCGAGGTGGGATGGGTGTCCTCACAACCACATCGCGTCCAACAATGGAGACTTGACGCAAGTCCCTCCGGCTCAAGTCAGGCTGTGCCGGATACACGTTAGACTGGGGCGGGGTCAACCTAGCGCGACTCGCAGATAAGCTGCTTCAGGGAAGAGCAGTTAGTGGCAGGATTCGGGCATCGGGAGCTGAGATAAGGCCGATTCCCCCCAGACAGAGTCAGCCCGAGCCCCAGAAGTGGGGACAGCAGAGGTGGGACCACTCCTCAGGACTGGGCATCCTGGGTGGCTGACTCCCCTGTAGGGGTCTCAGAAGGAAGGAGATGGAGCAGATTGCCCTTCGAGATGCATCAGCGCTCATGCAGAGGCTCCCACGAGCAGACCATCTAATCCAAGTAGGTCTCCAACATTTAGTCGCCTTCTTTTTATCACACTGTGAAGAAGAAAATGAGGCAAATAGTCCCAGCGGACTTCTGTGCCTCCTTTGAGGACACTTCATTTTATTTCCTCCTTCAAGACTGTTCATAAATCTCTCCAGCTAAGCACAGTTCACTGCTAAAGGACTTAGCTTATCTGACCTTCACATTAATTATTTTTATTACGCCAGCAGGAACTTTAATGTCCCTTCCTTACTTCTCTGCAAAGCCACATGGCCCCAAAGCGGACCCAGTTCCCTCCCAGTCCCTGAGGGGGAGCCCCTTAAACAAACACCTCCATATCTGCAAAGTTCTCTGAAGTGCACTGGGTCAGACCCCCAGTTCCTTCCAACCAGTAGATTGAAGGGGCCCGTTTGTGCATGAGTGTTTTGAGATGCCATTGAAATTCTTACAAAAACTGAAAGTGAAATGAGGAAGGCCGATTGAGCAATCAGATAGAAGGGCGAATGCCAGGAAGACCTATCCTTGCAGTAGGGACAGAGATGCAGCCCGGCAGGGAGAGGAGAACTCAGGAGAACTCTCCTGAGGGCGAGCGCCGGGCGGCCGGGCTGTGTAGTCAGTGTAGGGCACCAGCAAACGCAGATAACAGGAAATGATCCATTCTCTGTGGTCACTTATGCTGAAGGTCCGAACCTGCAAAGTTCAAGGAGGGAAATGGATGAGTCCAGAGGGGAGCCGGCACGCCTTCCTCCTTGCCTTAAGAGAAGAGAAGAAATGAAACTGGAGGAGACAGTCTCCATCCTCCCCCAGAAGGAAAGCCCCTCTGGCTGCTTCTCCAGAGATGGGAAGCTGCTGGCCGTGACCCTGCTGCTGGCCCTGCTGTCCTGCTGCCTCACGGTGCTGTCTTTCTGCCGGGTGGTCTCCCTGCAGGAGGAGCTGGGGCGCCTCCGGGCTGAACTGCGGGACCAGCGGTGGGGGGAGCTGCCAGCCCCACTCCAGGCAGGAGCTGCGGTCCCCAGGGCCGCCCCGCGGGAGGCGCCCCTCACCACCTCTGCCCTGAAAGTGAGTCTGCAGCAGCCACAGCCCCGGCTGGGCACTGGGGTCCCCCCACCCGACGTCCTTCCAGTAACCTGGGGCTTATCTCTTCACAGGCGATCCTGGCCCCACCAGCTCCGGGAGAGAACAACTCCAGTCGGAGCGGCAGGGATAAACGTGCCGCCCAGGATGCAGAAGAAACAGGTACATTTGGGGCACAGAAGCCTTCAGGAGTCAGGGATCCCCGTTCATAGGTGTGGACGAGAGCATCGGGTTTGGGAGAGGGGAGCTGAACAGAACCTGGAAACCGAGACTTACCGTCCCAGCCAGGGGGGCTCCGTTTCCCTGCTTGAACTGTGCAGACTGGGGCTTTTAGCCTGAGTGACAGCGGATCATTTCCTGCTGTCTGTGTTCCTCGGCGTCCTACACTGACTGCATCGCCCGGCGCGCTCTCCTTGTGAATGGTCTTCTGTCTGCCCGGTTCCAAAGCTGAGCTTTGGCCGGTGTGATAGGCTGACAGAATGTTTGGCCTCCCATGAGCAGATTTTGTGGATAGAGGTATTGTTTTGTGTGTGGCAGCTTAAGCAGTAGAGGTGGGGAAAGGAGCTCACACTCCCCCTCAGTCCTGTGTCAGGAACATCCTCCGTCACCCCAGGAAAGAAGCACCAGTCCTAGTGCAGACTGAGATTTCGTGAACCTGGTCAGGGGAGGGCAGCCAAAGACGACGTCTCCTGCGGGGGCGTAACTGCTGTGAAACCACGTGGAGGTCACTGTGGGAGCAGGTGCATGTTTGTGCTTTATTTTGTATCTTTTTTATTTTTTTTAATGTATTTCACATACACACACTGATTTTAAAGCTTTTCTCCAAGGTACGCTTTTGCAGGAGGTCCACACGTTTATAATCTTCTTGTAATACTTCTTTAGTGATTTCTGCCTTATCTGCCTTTCTTCGTGCTCACTTGTTCCACAGAGCTGTGTGGATCTCTGAAACCTCAGATTTGGTGGGATCTCCCAGAACGTTCAGCTCCAGTGCCTTCACTCCAGGGATGAAAGAGAGCATTTGCATTGCATTTGCCAGTGTTGCAATTTAACACGTCCTTGGAGCTGTTTCCTTTTGTATTAAAGGAACATTTCTGTGGCCTTAGAAGGTGCCAGGCAGGCTTATACTGGAACAGGGAGCGTCACGTCTCCTGTGTCCTCTCACCTTCTCGGTGACCGTGGGGCCGTGATCACGTGTAATTACTTACACGTGTTTGTATTTCTGAAGAGAAGTTCATGAGAGACAGGCAGACTAGGTGCTCTGTCTCTCTCTCACACACATACACGGTGCTCCTTCAGTAAGCTTGTTTTTCACTAAGTGCCTTATTCATGAAAAAAAATTCTTTGTTTTGTAAACCATAAATTTTGTATCTGGTTATCATATCTTTGTGCCAAGTATCAGAGACAGTTTGGTTGAAACATTGTAAAACTTGGAAACACTCATATTTTCACTATACTTTAGAGATATCAATTATTTTCATACTGTGCATTTTATCATCTGTATTTTCTACATAATTGAAAAAATCTAGCATATGTACTGTAGTATATATTTGTGTTCACTTCTTGCACAATATGCACTTTCTTTATTTCTAAGTAATTCTCACACATCTGTATTAATTTATCACACAGTCATTTATCATGATCATTTCCAATTTTGGTTTTTGGGGGGCTATTATCAAACATGCCCAATTTTTGTGCAGCTCTCATTCTTTCTGAGGAATTGTATACATATATTCAATGTAGATTCCGTAGTTGGAATGTCTGAGCCAGAGGATGAGCAGCTTTCTCACCCTTGCTACCTGCTGCCATCCTGCTTTCAGAAGGAATTATAAATGTTTGCAATCAGAAATGCAGAGTAAAGGTTCTCCACATCCTTACAGCATTTTATCTTTAAAGATTTATTTTGGCTAATTTGGTAGTTGTAAAGCCTGTGATTTAATTTGTTGCTGTCTTACAAATTAAGAATTAACTACTTTCTATGTATTTTGATAACTTCCAATTTTATCTTCTGCTAATTTTTATATACGACTTCCCTCATTTGTCCTATTTTTAAAATCATTTTCAGTAAACTCCACATTAGACATTTTGTTTATCAAAATTTTGATGTAAATATTATCACAGTATTTTGCTGTTTTTTAAAAAACATGTACAGAGTTTTTCATCGGTATATTTTACCATGATACACTTTTTCTTTTGATTTTCTCTAACACATCAAAGCTAAAATGTATTTGTTAATAATCTCTTAAATAGTCTGTTCTTTTCTCTGCTATTCTGACTTTTTTATAGTTTAGTTTGTAGTTTGGTATTTAACGCGTTACTTCTGGGGTTTATTTCGGTAGGTCATGTTAGACTAGCCTAAACTTTCCCTTTCTTTTCTTTCTTCTTCCCAAACTGCTGCAGAATATCTCAGCCAAGTCAATTAAATGATTCTTACTAACTCATTTATGTTGGAAAGCTAACTGCATTATATTAAGTTCCTTACATATAGTTGAATCTATTTTGAGACTATTTTTCATTGATTTATTACCCTATTTATCTGTATTAAATAAAATATGTGAAGTAATTTTGTAATATAATGAGCTTCCATGTCCAGTAGGGTGATACCTCAGTCTTCTTCAACCTTTTCTGTGAGAGTTCCCTTGCCTCTAAATAGCAGTATTAAAAATGAACCCTAACTTTGCCATTCCAAAGAGTATGTAGACTCATTACATCAGATTTAAGAAGAAAAGAATTGAGTAAGAAATCAGTAACTCCCTGAGTTCCACTTCTCCAAAATATCCTCTATTAATATTTAAAAATTTTCTTGCATGTGCGTATTTTTTTCCTATTTGTGTTTCCATGGCATCCAAAAATTGTATACTAACAAAAAATGTTCCCCAAATAATTTGCAATTTTTAGAAAGTTTGGAGAACAGCAGAAAATTCTAACCAGTAAATCAAAATTTACCCAGTTTCCGTAGCCCAGATGTGATCACTGTTGCCATTATCATGGCTTGTCTCAGATTGTTATAGACCTTTAATGTAGTACATATATGGCATATATATATGTATTTGTGGTATACATGGGTACAGATACACAGTATATAAATGTATGCATAGTACTTAGTGCTGTATCTCTATATCTCTCTCTCCGTATACCCTCAACATTCATAGATCAGAGATGAAAGGTTTGAAGATGAGAACCTTAGTGACAGGTAATATAATATCAGCTCTTCTTTGTCGATGAAATTGGCCTGAATGTTGCTTTAAACACTATCCTTCTGTGCAGGGAAAATGTATTCTGTTTAGCACTACTCCAAAATTAATATATACCCAGAAAATTGTCTTAAGATGCCATGATTTTTGTTTGCTTTCTGTTTGGTAGAGTCCTTTTTTGGAATTGAGGAAATGCTATGCAGTTTGAATCTCTGCAACTTTCTTCTGTGTTTGTTTCCATTCCAATTACTGTGATTTATTTTAAGTAAAACTCAGAAGCCATAGGTTGTCCCTTTTACTTGCAAAGTGTTGGTTTCTCTTCTGATTTATGAATTTTCTATATATGTGTATACATGTTTTTGTTGGAGTTTTATGAAAGCTTAACTCTGAAGAAGACAATGAATTTTCACACTGTTTAATTTGTATGTTCAAGACTTTTTAATATCTCTATTAAATATAGAATTTTAAATTTCACAGTAAGACAAGTTTTCCTTATATAGGTTTCACTCTTCTTTTATAGTTAATTTTAAAAGGTCCTTTTTTTTTTTCGCTAGTTTGGAGTCTCAGTGTTTACAAATAGCTTGTTAAACTATTAAAAGATGAATAGAGTTTTCAGTAAATGATACAGTATTTGATCTCACACTTATTTTTAAGCCACATCAATATACTTAGTGGATTTATACTAGCAGAATCATCATAGCATGCTAGATTTTTTTTCTGGAATACTCTGCTTTCTACATATACTCTTCAGTGTCAGCAGGCCACATCTTAGAACTGTGTCAAAAAGTTTCCTAGCTAAATATTGCTAAATAACACAGCAGAATGTTACCCATTCTTATTTTTCCATAAACACTGCCCCAATTTCACCAGGCACCTCGGGTTTATTGTGTCTATTTCAAATTTGTAAGTAGATCCCAGTATGCGGGACTGGAAGGCTTGACCTCCCCAGCGCGCAGCAAGCCCAGCGCGTCAGGGTTTGGGGCGCGTTACATGTGGTACAGCCTAGGGAGGCTGCCTTTTCTTCATTTGTGTATATCCCGTCTGTGCAACTAAAGAGGAGCTGCTGTGGTCTGGTCCTGTTTCTCCTTCTGTATGTCGTCACGGCAGGTGCACTGTGGGTATTCTCTGAGTATGCGTTGATCAACTTGGGGCTCAATATCATGTAAGATAGAGAGATTTGGCACTGTTTTGGGCAAAGGAGGGATTTTCCCTTATTTTTTCATTTGTCAGGTTTTGATCAAAGGCCATCTTATGAAATTTTTTTTAACTTGACATTTATAACAGCTGAGTAACCAAAGAATGAGTCAGATTACAGGGTCAGAGTCACAGGGATGGTCTGCAAACCCTTTGCCTCAGACCCTCCTGGCACCTCAGGTAGAGGCACAAGTCATAGAGAAGCTCCCACATTCAGCAGCCTCTTTCCCTATAATTTAATGAATTTCCAATTTAATTTAATTTTTTTTATTTTAATGAAGTATTATTTGTATACAGAAAAGGGCACGTGTCTTTGGGACACAGGTTGGTGAAACTCACAAGCTGAACAGCCCTAGACAAGGGCAGACATCGCCACCAGCACCCCGCCCACATGGACTGTTACCTTGCAGGGCCCCTGGGGTAAATGGTGCTTTTACTTGGCTCTAGAGTTTGCTACTAGGGCTCCAGTCTTGCTTTCCTTAATTGTATTGTTTCAGATGAAAGTCTTAGTAAGTTTCGTGTGTTTCAGAAGATAATTCCTGATTATGGTATTACAAATAGAAATGTGGGGAAATCCAGGATTAAAATTGCCAAATGGCTCATGATAGAAATTCACTTTTAAGCCCATCAGTGTATTTGGAGATATACCCAATTAAAAAAAAAAAGAACTAAAGTGATACAGCTCTGAAAATACTACACGTGAAAGTTTCTTCACAAACGCAGTCATGGTGACCCATGTTTTGAACCCATACTTAACTATAATTCTGTTAATTTCAG